TTTTTTTTTTTTTTTTTTTTTTTTTTTTTTTTTAATTTAGTTGCAGGGGCCCTGGATGTTTCTTTTAACAGGTTTATTCCCTTATCAGGTATGTATTTTTATATGCTTATTTAAAAATGTTTTATTGATCCTAATTTATTTTTTATGGTTTTATATATATTTTTCTTAGTTCTCAGCTTATAAATAGATTAAATTCTGTAAATTCATAGTAATACATGTGATTACAAGAGTGAAACTGTGGGCCCCCCCAGCTTACCTTGAGGCAGTGTAGAATATCGAATACACCTAGTTGCATCATTTTATGATAATTGACTTTTTTTATTCTCTAACTAAAATATGAGCTCCATCAAGTACCACATCTTATTCTGAAATTTTCAGGGCCTAGCACATTTCTAGACACGTAGAGGACAAGCTAATGAAAGCTCTTACTGTTACTTACTCATACATTCATTTGTTTTGGCTCTTCTCTTAAAATTGACCCATAATTTATTACCTAATAGTACTCTAGAGCCCACTCGTAGCTGACTGCCTGAATCCTGGTATCATCCCATCTCCCATATGACCTAGGACAAGTCACTTGAATTCCTGAAACTTCATTTTTCACACCTGTTAAATGATGGTTATATATTCTACTTCATAGAGTTGTGACAGTTACATAAAATGATCTCTATAAAAGCACCTACCATGGTACCTGTTGCTAAACCTTCTGTATATATAAGCTGTTGTTTTTATCATCACAATAATCTTTTTTATCACTGATATGATGGTTACAAAAGTTACCATGTAAGTTTTCCTAATGTCTGTTTTTAATAACATTGATTAGATTAATGCTATAATATATACTTATAGAAAAGTAGCCACCTGTTAGTGGTTATAACAGCCTGATAGAGTAAAATGAAGCTTTGATACATGTTGCAGAAATGTTTAAAAGATAAGTTTACGTGCTCGCTATAGTGTACCTTTCTAGTAAAAATACACACGACAGGTTAAACTAAACATGTCCAGTCTTCCATATAGGTAGTGTCAGGACAGACTGTGGGTCGTGTGGGGTGTTTTCGCTATGTCCTCATCTGTATGTGAAATATATGCTTCTAGGTATATTGGAACACGGATGGCAAGCGGACTCCACCACCAGGATGGTTCTGCCCAGAAAGCCAGGTAGGTGGAGCTCTTCACCTGTTTGTGCAGCATTGAACTCAGATTTTCAGGCCTTGAATCTGAATAATTTAATATAAAACTCTGCTATACTAACACAATGGAAGTAATTTACATTTTAAACATAAATATAAAATGGTAGACACTTAGGGTAGAAAGGATCATAAAGGTCACCTAGCTTTACTTTAACTTTTAAAAATGTATTCTTTATATAAAAGACTTTTATGTAGATGTTTCATGGTCCTTATTACAACTTAATTTTTACTAAATATTAATCGTCCATCCTTTTATTTATGGAGCCATTTCTAACTATCCTTATCCTTAGTATCTAAACTGTTACTTTTAAAAAAAAAGGTTAAAACTCAGTTCTTCCCCTTTTCTCCTTTTACTTGAGTCATACACGCTCTTCTCCTGTGACTTTCATCTGCACAGAGTTAACTTCACTCGCCTTCCTTTTAAGGCCTTACATCCTGTGCCCTGCCCTCACTGTCTCCACTGGAATTCCTACCCCTCAGTCTTGCTCTCTGCAGTGAGCCACGCTACTCCTGCCTGGTGGTCTCTTCTTCCTGCTTACCAGGAGTGTTCTTTTTGCCGCATCTATAGGGCCGGGCTCAATGCCCACTTCCATAAATACTTCTGCACCTCCATCAGCGCAAATTTCCTTTCACCCACTCTGGATGCCTAGTGTTTAGACATTGTTGAACACACAGCAGAGTATTGCACTAGTGTCAGTGTGCTCAGGCAGCCATGTGAGCATACGAAGAGTGGTAAGACATGGCCCCCACCAATCTAGATGGTGAGTAAATATTAATATAATAAAGACTAATAGATAAAGCATAATTGCTGTCCCTGTTTGAGAATTGAAGGCCGTAAATGCATATTGTTTTTTAAATGGCATGTTCTATGAAAGGTCTTTATGAGACTTCTGTAAATTGGGCTGTAAATTTTTTTTTTTTTTTTTTTTTTTTTTTTTTTTTAATTTAGTTGCAGGGGCCCTGGATGTTTCTTTTAACAGGTTTATTCCCTTATCAGGTATGTATTTTTATATGCTTATTTAAAAATGTTTTATTGATCCTAATTTATTTTTTATGGTTTTATATATATTTTTCTTAGTTCTCAGCTTATAAATAGATTAAATTCTGTAAATTCATAGTAATACATGTGATTACAAGAGTGAAACTGTGGGCCCCCCCAGCTTACCTTGAGGCAGTGGCACCCTCTGGCCCAGCCACCAAGCCTCCTTACTGTCGTGTCGGGAAGCGCTGACTAAGCTTCTCACCAGCATTTCTATTCAGAAAGCATCCCCAGGCTGACATGTGGTAACTTGAATGTGAGCATGTAAACTCCTTGAAGAGGAGTTTTTGTGGTTCTTGTTGTGGTTCACTGACAGTATTCTCCTATAGCAGTGGCTGGCACAAGGGTGATCCTTGAAGGAGATGTGGCATGGATAGGGACCTTTCCAAGAAGAGCTTGATCTCTTAAAAGAGATGTTGTATGTTAAACATGTTTTTAGCCTTCATGTAAAATACCTGAATACCAGCAGCAGCAGCAGCAGTGCCAAGCGTGCCTTTGCTCTCAGCTGGGGAAACTGTACTGATAAGCGTTGAGACCTGTTGGCTTGCTTTTCAAAAATGTCCAGGCCCCTAAGAGATATGATTTTGTCCAAAATCAGGGCAAATCTAAGAAAGTTTTCTTACTGTTAAGATTAATGGCATTGGTGAGGGTGGGTGGCAGGCTAAAGCTTTGTTACACTGGTATCTAACAGGAAGTGCATTTCTCTCTTTAACTTACAGAACCTGCTCCAGTTCCCCCAATCCCCAACGAACAGCAGTTAGCCAGACTCACTGACTATGTGGCTTTCCTTGAAAACTGATTTCTCATTCTGTGTTCAGGATCCCACCATCAGAATCCTGTATACTGACAAATATAGATACGTAAAATTTTTATTTTCAATTTATTGGATGGATTAAGCACCTCAGCATTCATTAGTGAGTATGTGGTAAAATAACATATATAATATAAAGCATATTATATATATTTTGTCCTTAAACATTATGCTGAGTAGTTGTCGAAATAATTCTCATTTTGTGCAAAATTTACTAATTTGGATGGAGCCCGTTAGTATTGGGCAGTTAGTTTATATTCGCTGGTGGCTCAGAACGTTAGCTCCCCTGCTTCGTGTGGAACAGTGGTTGTCAGCCATCCTTCCCTGCCCCAGCACACACCACATCCCATCTGCACCACTGGTTGATAGTTGTAGTGATTCATTGGAGGTTGAAGGAGGACTTAAGATTCGGGGCAGAACCTGAGTTGCTGCGATTGTGATGTACCCTCTTTGTGGAACATGCTCTCTTTTCTCCCCACCTCCTGCGAATCACACTGAGGAACGCAGAAGCATAGCTGAGAAACAAGTAGACCGTTGCTTTAGTAAACCAGTTAGTGAACTTTAGATGTTTTATGATAGCGTGAGTACATCCATTGCTGGCAGTGGAGGGCTTGCCATGGAAATGCAACTTATTTAAGACATTCATGAAAAGTATTAAGTTGTAATGTCTCCTTTCAGAAGAAGGGAAAAGTTAATGTGGAATGCATTGTATGGGAAAAGAAGCCATTGACATAAGTGATACACTTTGTACAACTATCCTGCAGCCTGTTGGTTGCTTCTGTTTGTCCCTTGATTCAAGTTCTACCTTTTGAGAAGTACCGAACAAGTGACAGCCCTCTGAATATTTGAAGTTGTTTATTGTATCTTCAGGTTAAAACACTCTTTAGTTCATTTATTCTTCATTTGTTCAATAAATATTTAATTGAATTATTCAACTGTTTTATCTAAGGTAGTTTCTAGAAATTTCACTATCTTGGTCTTTCTGTGGACATATTCTAGTTTGTCATTGTTTCTCAAAATATAAATATCTTAATTAAATAGGATTAAATAGAATAGAAATGACCTATATAGCGAATCTGTATAATGATAATTACATTAATTTCATGTTTTCACTCATTTCAGATATGTTTTAGTGGCTATTCCAATTTTTCTTAACATATATGGAAATACCTTTTAAGTTTCAATTTTATTTAACCGTGGTAGGTAAGTCATATTGTTAAAACTCCTGGTTTTACACATGAGGAAATGGAAATTCAGGAAGTCAGAGGATCTGCAGCAAGAGAGTGATAATGCCAGTTTTTCCAGGGATTAAATCAAATTGCATGCATGGGCCTTACTTTTAATAGCAGATTGGAATCAACCCGAGAGTTCATTAATAGGTGCTTGGTTGAATAAACAGTAGTATACAGTTTAGACTGTGCAGCTGTAAAAGGAATGAGAGACACCTCTATACATTGAAGTAGAATAATCTCCAGAGTGAAATCATAGAAAATATAAGGAGTTTATACTATTATGTTGAGGGTTACAAAGGAAGAGTGATTACAGTTGTGTATACATACATATTTGCTTATATTCAAAAAGAAACAATTGAAGGATAAAACAAAAAAATGGTGCTCTAAAGAGAAAGGAGAGGACAGTTAACTAGTACGAAGAAAAAGTAGTTTCTCAAGTGACTCAAACACAGTATTTGACTCTACATTGTCAGTAGGATATACACTAAGAACAAAAAACTTAGACCACTGAATTTCATTGTTAATTTCACAAACTTGATATCTTCATCATTATTAAAAGTATATCATAGAATAAAATTAGTAATTATGTAACATTGTTAGAACCAGCAATCTTAAATTTGACTTGGAAACCTCATATGATTTTTCATTCTTTCTTAATAGTAAATATTTTTCCTCTGTTCAGCTGAAAAGGCCTAGCTAGAGTAATTATAATCCGGTAACAATAAATACCACTAGTACCCCAATCGTGGTCTCTCAGTTCCATGTTCAACTCGAAGTAATAAGAGCTTATTTGCAAAATAGTTAATGCTGGGTCTAGAGCAATAATGTGCAAGTTGGTAACTGGTGTACAAAATGTCCCAGGTTCAAGGAAGTTATCAAAGACTCGGGGTTCTGTCAGAAGGCTATAGAAGCCAACTCAAGGGGGCTCCCACTGGCCAAAAGGAGACAATTTGAGCACAAAAAATATGTATATGTGTATATATGTCTTATATACACCCATACATGTATATGTATATATTTTTAACCCTAAGTTCCTACTGAATAACTTCATCACTGTGTAAGAAAGGTAGGATAAGTGCTTGATTCCACTTCTGCCTACTTTATCAGTTTTCAGGGAAGGAATTGATGGCCTGGCAGTCTCCAGAGCAACCAAATTGAACCTGTAAGGTAGATGGTGCAAACTTCATTATGCAAGAATTCCACCTAATAAATGAAGATAGAATTAGAAACTCAGTACTTTTCAGCCCATAGTGAAATAAGGAGTCTTAAAAATAAGTATCAGTGGCTGCCAAGACCACAGGATGAGAAAATGAGATGAGCATAAAGTATGTCCAACACACCCATCAGCCCACCTTTGTGCTGTAGCTACTTCTGAGATAACCAGCTACATGCAGGTGTTGCCTGACAGCACCCTGCTTTAGATTTATTGAGTGTCTCTACCGTTTTCTCTGTGGTTTACCCTGGCACTGACACTAGGATGGGTAAGAGGGAGCTCTTGGGCAGCTCTTCAGCAGTTGGAGGCATGACATGGTGAATAAACATTCCCTTCCTTGTCTTGGGGCAGACAGTTCTAGATGTGTTGTATACCTGGTTCCTGAAAAAGGGCCCCGACAAGATCGAGCTGTGGTTTCCCATGGTAACTAGCTCTACAGTGCAGCCTTAGAGTGTTTTTCCTCCTTCCTTGTTTCACTCTCTCCAGTTCCCCTTCTCTTGTGCCCCGGGATCAAGAGAATGATCTGTCCACATGTACTCCTTGTCTCAGGTTCTGTCCTTGGGAGAATGGGCCCAGAACCCAGTTCAACAGAGGAAAATCTATAATGCATGGATCAGGCTGAAAGCACCCGAATCGACTCATTCTTATCACAGACAGTAGACAAGCAAGCCTGATGTGATGAGGTAGTAAACGTGCAGCATCAGCCATCAAGCTTCACTGTCCAAAAAATGTGTATGTGTGTGAATCTACCCAAAACTTTGGATCTGACTGCCAGTTTACATGAAGTGTGGGAATTAGTGGAACAAGTTAAACACCCCACTAAGGAACAATCAGCCAGTTCTAGAATTTGGAGAATTTAACAGGACAAATTTGTGAGTTTCCTTCAAAAATAAATGACAAAAAGAAGCAGGGTGGTGGAGATTGTGATAAGTACAAAGATTTCTGCTCTTGGTTTGAAGTACTTTGAGACTGCCTCACAATTGTGCCAAGAACTACAAAAGATGGATACATACAATATTTTTTTTAAGGCACCAGTCAGCTCCCGAAACAATGAGGAATGGAGGAGCTAAGATTAGAGAGAGGAGAGAGCTACAGAGAGGTCATCTGCAGCAACTATTCTCAGGGGCCATTTGCAGATTCCATGCACAGCAATATCCAGGCTTTGCCCGGGCAGGGTTCCACTGCTGTGAAATGTAGCAACCTGCAGAAATCGGGCACTTTCACAGGGCTGGAGTGATAAAAATGGGGACTTGAGAGGGCTAAACCACACACTGCTTATCCTTCAAGACGTGGTATACTTTTAAGGTGCTTGGGATAAGAGGCCAAAAAAGTCAAGACAAAAACATTTGAGAAACAGCTCAGTGTTTGTGCAGTCTTGCTGTGCTAGGGATCCTTAATCACAAGGCCCAGGGGTTCAGGGATGCCTGTAAGTATAAACCAGAGGTAAGACATTACTAAAACTGCAACTCGAAAACAGGCCAATATAAGATATTCAAACTGAAGCACAAAGAAAACAGTGGAATTTAACTGGAAAGAGTGTTAGAGACACGTGCACAGCAAGGAGAGCTACCGTGCAGGTAGTTGGAATTCAAGGAGGAGAGAAAAAATAGAGCTGAAAAATAAATACTTGGAAGGACTGGCTCAGGATTATCTGAAACATGAAAGAAATCAAGCCACAGATTCAGAAAGCTCAGAAAACCCCACAGAGGATAAATGCAAAGCAAACCACACCCTGACACACAGTAAAACTACTGAAAAACCACAGACAATATATTAAAAGTATAGGGGAGAGTGGGAGGGAGGGTGGGGGCGAGGTGCATTATCTGCAAAGAAGCAGCAATAAAATCAGACAGTGAATTGGCACTTTTAAAGTGTTGAAAGGAAAAAAAATCGTAACTCTTCTATTCAAAAGAAAGACACTTATTCTTCCTGTGTTGTTAAATTTGAAAGTTAGAAAAAGAAATACCAATGCAAATACTAACCAAAAGAAAACTGGTGCAGCTTTGGTAATATCAGACAAAGTGACTTCAATGCAAGAAGCTTTGTTAGAGATAGGAAAGGATTTTTAGTGAAAAAGAGGTTGTGTTAGTTTTCTATTGCTGCTGTAACAAATTCCCACAAACAATGGCTTAAAACAACATGGGTGTACAAGGGTACATCAAAAAGTTCATGGGGGGCCAGCCCGGTGGCGCACTGGAGAGTGCGCCGCTTGGGAGTGTGGCAGCGCTCCCGCCGAGGGTTCAGATCCCATGTGGAGACCG